GTTTTTTTTTTTTCTTCCCCATGTCAGATGGGTACTGTGCCAACATCGGAACAAGATTTGCATCTGTCTCATGCATGCCCATAAAAACCCAGTCATCTTGCTTATGAACTATGAAAGGATCAATTTTTTTTTTTTTTTTAATGGAGACAGAGCCTCAAGCTGTCTCCCTGGGTAGAGTGCTATGGCATCAAACCTCACAGCAACCTCCAACTCCTAGACTCAAGCAAGTCTCCTGCCTCAGCCTCCCAAGTAGCTGGGACCACAGGTGCCGCCACAACGCCCGGTTATTTTTTGGTTGACGCCGTCATTGTTGTTTGGTAGGCCCGGGCTGGCTTCGAACCTGTCACCTTAGGTGTATGTGGCTGGCACCTTAGCCACTTGAGCCACAGGCACCAAGCCCAATTTTATATTTTTTTGTAGAGACATGGTCTCACTATATATTGCCCAACCTGGTCTCAAACTTCTGGACCCAAGCAGTCCTCTCACCTTGCCCTCCCAAAATGCTGGGATTACAGCTATGCACCATTGTGCCTGGCCTAGTTTCTTAGGAGTTTGTGATAATTCATAGTTTTTCTTACACAGAAGTAGTGAGAGTGGTGTAATGAGTTCCTGGGTTTCTTTACTCAGTCTCAACTATCTTCTTATTTTGGGGGCATAGAAGTTGGGAGAGTGGCATATTTAAAGCAAATCCCAAATACCATATTGTTTTACTCAAATACTTCATTATATGTCTGTGATAAATACTCCAAAACTCCCAAACCCTTATTTTGTACTAGTACAATGGAAGTGTTTAGTTATATTGTTATTTTTTAGTATTTAAGTGCATCATGAAATATTTCTTCAAAATTTCTTGGTGTCTTTTCTTGATATATCAGTTTCAGATGATAAATTTGTGGGGCACACTAAGCTATGCACAGAGTGAATGGTTTATAAATGTTTAGGTAAGATAGACTATTTTGTGTTTTGAATAGGAATTAATATTTCAGTGTTTTAAACCATAAATCCACTTTAAAAGTCAGAGGTGTACATTTTTATAACTGTTACTAACCTTTCACTTAATTATATACTTGAGATAGTAGACCACACTATTTCTACTATCTCATTTAATACTCTCAATAATCCTATAAGGTGGATAGTGTTACTCTATTAGCTGAGAAATAGTCTCTAAGAGCTAAAGTAACTTGTATGACATTATACCCTAATATATAGAGCTAGTCCTCTTGAACTTCAAAGACTGTATTCTTTGCAATCCACCATGGGTGTTTCCACCTGGGGAAATTAGTATGTGACTGTTGAGAATACCACAGGTTTATAAATGGACACAAAATGGGAAGGATCACCTAGAATTAGAATCCTCTTTTTTCATCATCAAGAGCAATCGAGTAGCAACATCTCCTATGAATTGAAGTATTGTAGATTTTCTCAGGCAGACAGGCTGGCATTATCAGACACAGCTAATTTAATTATTAGTCTGAGTCCATTATGAACAGAATTTCCACTTAATGTAAAGAGTTTCAAATTCCAACTTACCTTAAGCAGGATTTGTACTAGTACAATGGAAACATTTAGTTATATTTTTATGCTGTTTGTATTGAATCCATGGAGCAACACAAAAAGCGAACTGAGACTAGAGCTGACACTGTCATTACCCAGCTGGCAGTGGGCAAGTCATTTTATCATCTGAGTCTCAGTCTTCATGTGTTAAATGAGAAATGAGAAGTTTGGTAATAGTACAATTTCAAGAGCTCTATTATCTAACCTATATGAGTCATTTCCTATATATGGCATATATTTTTTATGTGTATATATATGGTTTCTGGGATTATTGTGTACCATCTCCTGATTCCATATTCATTCATGGAGGGCACCAGTGATAACAATATAAACAGCAATTAATCCAAACATTGTTTGGCTTTAGGATATATTATTATTTTTATTATTTTTCTTTTCTTGAGACAGAGCCTCAAGCTGTCACCATGGGTAGAGTGCTATGGCATCACAGCTCACAGCAACCTCCAACTCCTGGACTTAAGGGATTCTCTTGCCTTAGCCTCCCAATTAGCTGGGACTACAGGCACCTGCCACGATACCTGGCTATTTTTTGTTGCATTTGTCATTGTTTTTTTTTTTTTTTTTCCCTTGAGACAGGAACCTCAAGCTGTCCCCCTGGGTAGAGTGCTGTGGCATCTCAGCTCACAGCAACCTCCAACTCCTGGGCTCAAGCGAGTCTCCTGCCTCAGCCTCCCAAGTAGCTGGGACCACAGGCACCTGCCACAATGCCCGGCTATTTTTTGGATGCGGCTGTCCTTGTTTGGCGGGCCCGGACTGGATTTGAACCCACCACCTTGGATGTACGTGGCTGGCACCTTAGCCACTTGAGCCACAGGCGCCGAGCCCAGTTGTCATTGTTGTTTGGCAGGCCTGGGGCTGGATTCGAACCCACCAGCTCTGGTATATGTGGCTGACACCTTAGCTGTTTGAGCTACAGGTGCCGAGCCAGGATATACTGAATTGCATTTTTTTTTTGTTTGAGCTAATATGGAATTTCCTCCTAAGCTATCTCTCAGTGGTTGGAAGCAATCTAACCACATAATCAAATCATCATTGATCTTCTATTATGCACCTATTATTGTGGACGGACACTTCTACTTTAAGATACCACCGTTACTTACAGTTGGTTTGATAAATGAGATTGTTGTGATCAAGAAGCCATTATTATAAAAGATGATGTTAATCGCTTGATGTCTTACACTGAATTATTAAGGGACAGTGAAATAAAAAATTAGGATTCAGCCCTGTTTGGACACCAAAACAAAAAATTAGGATTTAGATCTGGATAGAACCCAGCTCTACCGTTCTTAGCTTAAAAAATATTGTCACTGGGAATGGTGGTTCACGCCTGTAATCCTAGCACTCTGGGAGGCCAAGGCAGGTGGATCACTTGAGTTCATGAGTTCAAGACCAGCCTGAGCAAGAATGAGACCCTGTCTACTAAAAATGAAAAACTGAGTCAAGGCCAGGCTCGGTGGCTCACACCTGTAATCCTAGCACTCTCGGAGGCCAAGACAGGTTAATTGCTTGAGCTCATGAGTTCAAGACCAGTCTGAGCAAAATAGAGACCCCCGTCTCTACTACAAATAGAAAAACTGAGGCAAGAGGATTACTTGAGCCCAAGAATTGGAGGTTGCTGTGAGGTATGATGCCACAACACTCTATCCAGAGCAACAGCTTTGAGAATCTGTTTCCAAAAAAAAAAAAAAAACCGAGTCCAGAGGATCACTTGAGCCCAAGAGCTTGAGCTTGTTGGGAGCTATGACACCACGGCAATGTACCCAGGGCAACAAAGTGAGACTCTGTCTTAAAAAAAAAAAAAAAAAATCACCTTATTTTCCTTAGGTAGCAAAAATACTGATTTATCACTGTACTAAGTGGTGATATACATGAATTCATGAATTTGATGTGGCAGTTGTACTTTTCTTTTT